GCCGTGTAGCCAATGTAAAAGCAATCTGCATCATGTACATCTGTTGTGTGTCAGCTACATAGCAATGTACACCCAGGTTGCAGAATGTACACTACGGACTGGAACAGTGGCTAGTGTGATTGCTGTGCTCACATCAGCACAGTGTGAGGATCAGTTTTTGTGCCAGCTTGTCCAATGCCTTGCTATTTATGAATTTTAAAAATATACCACACTTTAGAATTCTTCATTTCTCTTTCTGCCACAGGGGAGAGAAACTGAGAGTTTTCATCGAGACTGGTGGTAATGAAAGCTGTGATTCCTTTACTGAGGAAATACAGTTTATGGTTGCTGCATTCTTTCTCTCTCTTCTTGCAAATAAGAGAATGGACCACAGCATGTCATAGTCATAGTCTGTTGTTCTGTTCCCCTAACTGGGAAATGCTATGCAATTCTATGGTGCCATTCCTGTCCTTGGCCAAGAATAGGTAGGCAGTAGATGATACAGTCAGCCAGTTGCATTTAACATTTGAAGATGTGTGGCAACAGCGGAGCTGGGACATCCCCTCCCCCAGGGCTGCTACCTGTCCTGTGAGAGCAGACAAATGTCATATTGTATGGCCGGGTTTACCTTGATGTTTGCTTAATCTGTAACTGGAAACTATTAAAGATGGGAATTCTGTGTGCCTAGTTAGTGAACTCTCTTCCTTGATATGCAAGCTTTTATGGTACTGAGAACCATAGTGCATGTTGCAATTGTACAACCTTACATGAATGCCACCGATATGTATAGCAAGAGATCAGATCCAATCTTTGGGAAGAGGTCACATTAATAGGGTACACTTGTTCTTCTTCCCACTCTGAAATGACACCTAAGTGTACACAGGGATATCTTTACTATGGATGAAATTGGTTTCTTCTGTTTTCTCTGATAAAAATATTAAGAACAACAGGGTTAATATGGCACAATGTCATTCTGTAGTACTTAAAGGCTTGTGTCCCAAAGTTCAGTGCTTCAGACCCAGTTCACAAGCCCAGCATTATAGTTGCATGCTGCTAATGATATGGGAGGACTGCAGCTGTGGATAGTAGCATTTAGTTGTTCAAGATTTGCTTTTCTTAAAAAAGAAAAAATGCATTCACAGTAAATTTTCATTGAAAGCACTTTATTCAGCACTTAAACTCTCAGGGATGGTTGCCCTTCTTCCTCTTCAATTATGCAGTTTTTGTGAATTATAAGCAGCTATAGTTTTCTAATTAAACTTATACGGATCATAAGGCAGACTCATCACATTGAGAATAGCAGACTATAAAGAATAACTGTTTTTGTTTAAACAATGGCACCTCATTGAACACTAGAGGAAAAGTTTATGGGGGGGAAAAAGATTTGCATGTCCAAGTGAACATAGAGATGCCTCCCCAAATAAATTTTGAAATAGTTTCATGACATACCTTTTCCAGTGAGTTTCACGCTGGTGTTCTGGTTATTGTACAATAGTATGTTCAGAAATCTCAGAACCTTTGAAGGTGCAACTTAAGTTTCAGGGCAGTGGGAACAAGTCCTTGAGAAAACTCATTACATCTTTGCTGTCAAAATAAAAGCAAGCTTTTTACCTCTCAGTTAGAGTCCTGACTAAATATAAATGGTTAAATAAATAGATATTTATGTATATATTTTATATTCCAGCTTTCCTACATAATAGGACTCAGGGTACTGTATACAAAAACTTCAGAAAACTTCCCAAGGCCCAGACTTGGTTAGCCTCATCATGCTGGTTGCATCGTATACCTTCTGCAGAGGTTAAAAGAGAGGTTCTTTCAATTTGCTTTGTGGCAAAACTGAAATACAGTCAAACAAGCTGGATTTGTTTTCCTACAGTTTTTAGATGGCTGCACATTTACTTATGAGCAGATTACTCTAAGCTATGTGAAACCCCAACATGGTCTACATCACATGCCAGCAGCCAGGCAGAAAGTAGATGTGTGGATCAACTCCCAGAAGCCCCAGTTAGCATAGCCAATGGCCAGGAATGCTGAGCTGAAATCAAAGATGCCTGAAGATTGGCTTTCTGCCACAAGAAACTAACTCCCTCTGTTTCTTCTATGGATTGCCACAGAAGGCTGCAAAACTTTCCATGGTGCATAGGCAATATTTTCTCCTTGACTTTTGAATTTGGCCCCTCTGTTTCAATTTCATTTATTTTGAGCTGCCTGGGCTTTCCATTTTTGGTTTTTGGGTTTGGTTTTTGAAAGTGCAGTAATTAGATGGGGAACTTTCTGACCTTTTTCCAGGAACTTCACAGTTGTGAATGACAACATCATAAAAGTGGGACTGAGGTATGCGTGCCAGAACTGGCTTTAGGAAACTCACTGAAGTAGGAGCATGATGGTACAAACAGCTGCTTGCTTTCCAGAGTGGAGCCTGAAGCTCACAGACAGACTATGGTTGAATGCTTGTTTTTGTCTGCCTAGCAAAGAAGAGCATCCATGTTCCTGCTACTGGCTCCTTGATGCCTTACAGCATTGCATGTTGAATTTCTTTATGTTGTACACACCCGTTTTTGCACCTGCATGGGACTCATTCATTCCCTTTGCTCACACATGCAGGTCTGCAGGCACATGTGAATTTATCCCTGCATGTAAGATCAAATACAAAAACATACACTTGTATGCACATCACAAGCCCACATTTGTATTGTTACCCATTACTCAGGTGTGAGTCACAAGAAGAGAACAGGAGAAGCCTTGATCACTTCCACGTCTGGAAGGCAAACCACCAGCTGCTTCTATCTGTCATTTCTTCAGCCTTAGACTGATGTTACCTTCTTCATTTTCAAGGAACAATGGAGTAACAAGTGTTCATGTTGCCTAGGAAGTTATCCAGAGCAATGTGTGGCTAAAATATTCTTAAGGCTTCCATGGCAGAGAAGAACTCTTTCTTAGTTTCCTCACTGCTGCCCAATGTTGCAATCCTTTCACCTTGTTATTTGAAGCCTGGAAGGAGGAGGTTGGTAAGGGAGGAAATGCATGGGCCCTGCCTATTATGGGTTAAAGAATGGTAGGCAACGGACATTTCTTCCATAGCAAACTTGAGTGCCATTAGAATGGGAGCGAAAGGGGGTCCACTGATAAAAGGAAAATATAATTGGGTAGCTTCCAATGTTCGTGCTATGCAGGGGCTGTTGCTCTACATAAGACTCTACGTAAGAGTCTGCCACAGTGTCTTTGTCTCTGCTACATAAGCATTAACACTAGATGCTACCTGAAAGGTCTGATGGAACTCCAGTTGCAGAAGTACAGTTCAACCAAAACAACAACAGCACAACCCACCCCCCTGCAGAGGACAACTGAGCAGAACAGCCTAAGGAGGAATTAGTATGTTCAATAGTCAGAGGGTAGCATCAAATGTTTCACATACACCCATGGGATCCACCTCTAGTGCAATGGGGAGTTCTTAAAGAAAATGTTAATGAGTGGAGCAAGAATGGGGCAAGTCAGTAGAGCAAGTGCCATAGAAAGGCACCTCCTGCCTGTCCAAATCCAGAAACAACATTTTCGTTTGTTTTCAGAGTTGCTCTAGGTAGCAATAGCTCCTCTTTTAGTGCTAGGTCCTGCTGGTACAGTGGAATAAGCAGAAGTGTGGAGACCATATGGGACACTTTCCAGAATGTGGACCATTGCTTGGAAAAGAAAAACAAAACATTTTGAGAGGGCAGTGGAATGATTTTCTTTAAGCTCTTTAGTATCTAAGAGGTGGAGAGAAGTGACTGGCTGAAACCAAAGAACACCTCAGGAGATGAAGATATGTTGCAACACTTTATTGTGGGCCCTGCTTGTGTCTAACAGATCAACGCAGCATATAAATTCTAGCATGAAAACCTTAAGAGTATCAGATCCCTGCCTGGGCTGGGAACTGATCACATCACAGTATGTCAATAACAATAAATAAATATTTAAAAATAAAAAGTCAAATGATTATAGAAGTATGATAATGTTTCTCATTGAATTGAATTTGGATCACTGCATAGCATTCATGTAATAATATGAAAATACCTGGATGAAAATGCAGGCAAATGTAATACCAATTTGTCTACATAGTACTTTAGGTTTTCTTTATCTTGATCTTATAAAACTATAGTTTAATGTTAGCAGCGGAGTGGGCTTTGGCCCCTCATTTCATTCTCCCCTCCACCCACAGCCTTGTCCATTTGTGAAATTTGTTTGAAATTTTATATAAAGCTATGAGCAACTCATGCATGCAGTGCTTATTGACTGCTGTTTTTCACTAACATTCATTGACCTTTAGGTCAATAAATGTAAAGTTGATTTAAGAAGTCAATATGCCTTATTTTAATTTAGATTAAAATTTTGTCTGATTCAGCACTCTTTAGTTGTCTTTTTATAAATAAAATGCTCATGTCAATTTATTATTAAAATTTATGTCAACTATAAAATGTTTTCCTGTTGGATTGGAAATCCCCAGCTGAATTATTATTTTTTAAGCATTTCCAGCCCAATGTTTTGAAAGTGACCTTCCTGTACCCTACTACATTTCATGCCCCCTTCAGATGTTGTTTTAGGTACTGTACAAACATCGAATTGTATAGCTAGTTCTATGCGACCAGAGAGAATGTTTCCCCCACCCAAATGTAGTTTATAGATCATTCTGTGTGCGCATTTCAATCTATTTTGCTTAAATGATAATTAAACTTGTTATTCATTTCATAAAATGCACTTGATGAATAACTATTTATATGTTTCTTCCACTGAAGCTTTCATCACCTGTTGAAACTGAACTTAAAAATACTGCTAAAATATATTCAAAAATATAAAGCAGGCAATTAAATTCGCAGTATTTTGCTTGAGAAGGTTTCAATGTCTCTTCCATACAGAGAAGAAAGAGTTAATAGACTTTAATGTATGTTAACTTCCCTCTTAATAATTGCTTTGCTTGACAAGTTCCTTTGGTTTGTTTCTTTTAATTATAGGCAAAGTAATAATGTTTCTTTTTTTTTCCTTTCTAGGCATTGATTTCAAAGTAAAAACAATTTCATTTAATGGTACAACTATGAAACTTCAAATCTGGTAAGCTTTGTAAAGAATGTGTGCATTTAGAAAAATGTTGGGGCAGACAGAAGGTAGATCTCCCGATAATTCGGATTCTAACTGGTGTTAATAAGGCCAATAGTCAGGAATGCTGGGAGATGATGTTGAAAACCTCTGAAGATCTACTTTTTGCCCACGCCTGGAATAGCTAGTAGGAGAAATAATCACCTTCTGATATTTTAAGATCTGTACACTTCAATTTCTATATAAGTAGCTTTTCTGTGTAGATGTGATGATGAAAATAGAGAATGCTTGCATTTGTGGTTGTTCCCAAATGCATATGGCTACCTAGGTTTATATTGTTAAGATATGACAACTATTTTGCCTATAGATCCCAATGGAGTGATTAACTAGAGTATGGCTTTTCTGTTGTTGTTTGCACAACTGACATTTACAGTCTCTCAGAGAGAGACAGACAAGGGGAAAGCTGTTGGGTATGAACTTATACCTTTTGTGGACTTTTAGAGAGATGTTCCTAATTCAGTTCCTAAATTTACATAGTAGCAACTATCATTCAGAGTAGCTTCTGCTGATAAAAGAAAAGCAGAGTATGTCTATCTTGGAATGCTGCCTGCTCGATTAAAATCATTTTTTTAAAAAGCCAGTTTAACCAGTGTAACTAGCTACATAACTAGAAACTTCATATTGGTTTGGTAATCCGTAATCAATCTGTTTCCACTCTATCCTCCTTGGAAATGTGTAAGGACTTCCTACTATCTAACTTGCAGCTATTCAATGCTACTACAAAATTCAAATGCATTTTCCTTATAATTGGCTCCAGGATGGTTAGAATGCACTTCCTGGCCAGGACTAAAGCTTGGAAAAGAAGTCGAGTGAACACAAGGGCCTGATCTTCACATCCCTATATACAACATTCTAGGATGGTAGTAATGAAGATAACATACAGTACAGTCATAGTTATGACTTCCTTCCTTTCTTTTTAAGAAGATAAGAACAGCCATGCTGGGCCAGACCAATTGTTCATCCAGTCCAGCACTCTGTTCACACAGTGACAAACCAGCTGCCCACAGGATCCCTCCAGCAGGATGGGTACAAGAGTTCCACCTGCCCAACTTCCTCAGGAACTCGTATGTGCAGACATGGCATCTCTGATAATGGAGGTAGCACATAGCCAGCAAGTAGCCATTGATGGCCTTCTCCTCCATGAATTTGTCCAATCCCCCTTTAAAGCCACCCAAACTGGTAGCTATTGCTACTTCCTGTGGTACTAAATTCCATATTTTAACTATGTGTTGTACAAAAAAATACTTCCTTTTTTCTGTCCTGTGATGCAACTAACCTTGAGAATAGAAATGGGAGACTGGTACCAATTTTGAATAAAATCCTATCTGGAATACAACTTCAGTACAGAGGGCTGAGGCACGCTGCAAAGGAAATGCATCTGCATCTGCTAGGGGTTTCCACCTATAAGCATAAGTTTTGCTTTTCTGTGCATACAAAACTGTATTTCACATGTTAGGGCTGTTTGTTGACAGTGCCGAGTAACTCTTTACAATGTATTTTAGGGATACTGCTGGCCAGGAACGATTCCATACCTTTACTACTAGTTTTTTCCGTGGAGCACATGGATTTGTTCTTGTCTATGATATCACAAGTGTAGAGAGTTTTCAAGAAATTACACGCTGGATAAATGATATACATGAGGTAAGATTATACCATTCTGTTTGTGCACTAAATAATCATGTTTTCATTTTCCTTTCTAACAGCCACATAGACACAAACCCAATTGATTGGGATGGGTGCAGGCACATGGGTGCATTACTATAACTTGACAAATTTGCCATTCATTAAAATGCTATATAGAAACCAGCATCTGCAGTTATGTGAGGAGAGAGTTCATATACATAGGAAACATGCAAGGATAGAGCAGGGGACAAATGGAAATTGAATAAGACAAAGACTATTGGTATGAACATACAGCAATATATTTAAACAGGAGATTGCCAAGAAGCTATAGGAACAGCACAATTGTAGCTTGACCATTTGCTGCCTAGAGAGGGTTAGGCTGAGATGAAACCCATGTACAGCTTTGGGACTTCAGCTGTGCCATTGGAGCAGCACTGCCGTGCAGTTCACCCTTGAGAAATACTGGTGGAACTGCACCGATATGCCACGAGAACTCCTCCAGTGCTTGGTCAGCAGAAAGGCTGAGAATGTGGTAGGGATGTGGGCTTGATGTAGTTACGGCTCATAAAAATTCCCTTTGTGGTCATGACAACATTGGAACTTTACACCAGGTCAAGTGGCTGTGCAATTTTTCCCCCCACCATTCAAGTGAAAAAGCTTCCCTTTGACTATATCCCACCCTGTACATCTTGGCCCTAGTTCTAGACAAAGACTTAAAGAGTTACAGTCTTTGCATTAGTTGCATAATGTAAGCATTGACAACTGAACTCAAGTGTTGACATTGTCTTTAATCTATGATCTGCTTTCAGTATGGAAGATTGCAGAGGATACTTTCCTCTTTCTTTGGTCTAATCTCTAGTCTAATTGAGGTTTACCCAGTCTGTGTGCTTCTCTCTCTCTCTGTACTGTGTATGTTTCCACTAAATCTGGAGAAGACTCAGAATTAGCCAGCATTAATGCAAACCCATTACTTCTCAAAGCAGGTCAAGATATGCAAGATATATTCTTTTATACTGATCATAGGCAGCTTAATAATTTGAGCTTACAATGCTGAACACCACAAGTTTCAAAATAAATATTATTTCTACAAGAGGAAAATCACTTTAAATCAGTATGTTTCACTTTAAATCAGTATATTTCTTATACAAAATATATTTAAAATTAAAATATTTATATACAACCTTTAATTCAATAGTTTCCAGGACTGTAAAAAGCAAATATGTCACAAAACATTAAAACTAAAAGACAAAAAAACTAATGTTCAAATGAGACTTCAGCTAAAATCATACAGCAGGCTAAGACATTTCTTAGACTAGGAAAATAAAGATGTCTTCATTTGGCATTAAAAACTTGGCATCTGTCACATCTCCTCAAGGCCAGTATTTCAGAGTGAGGATGCTACTGCCAAAAAAAGCCCTTCCCTTTGTTGTTACATCCTTGTCTTCCAGTAAGGAAGACATAGACCTTTATCTCCTATAGTGTAGAGGTTTCCCTTGCACAAGTGAAGATAACGCTATTCATGCAGAACATATTTCAGCCTGTTTGTGATATAGAATTGCACTGCAGTCCATCAAATATTGCACTGCAGATAGCAAAGAAGAGACCTAACTTGATGTGGGTGATCACTGTGCGATGAACAAAAGCACTCTCAGAAATGTACTTACACCTTTAAGTAGCTCACATGTTAGAAAACTGAATATAGTGCAATATTTGATGGATGACCTTAGAGCTTTCTTCAGCTTGGTTGCCCTCTAATTGTTTTGGACGATAACTTCCACCATTCTTACATTGGCTATGCTGGCTGAGCCTACCAGAGTTGAAATTCAAAACATCTGGAGAGCACCTTGTTGGGAAAGGCTTCTTTAGAGGAAAATCAGTGTGGTATCAGCAAGGGCCAAGATTGACTGGACAACTTTGATTTTAGCATGTGGGGGGGGGGTGTCTTAAAAATGTATCTTTCTCCTACCAAGCTGATGCTAATTATCCTGAGCACATGCAGACAGAGGTGGTGGTGGTGGTGAGAAGGTTACTCCTTTCCTCCTCTGCTAGGTTCCTAAGGAAAGTCCCTCTCTGAAGGTGCTATTTCAGTTGGGAAAAAAATACAAATAGTGACTTCAGAGCAGGATTTTTACTCATAGGAGAAAAGGAAAAGAGTTAATTCTTCCTGCTTGTTTGCCTGCTTGCTATGTGTCTAATTATTCCTCCCCCTAGTTATGCTTTTTGCACAAGACCCCCGCCCACACCCACATTAAATACAAGAGGCATAAAACATCTAGGCTTGGCCTTATTTTCAGTTTTTTGGGGGATCTACTGCAACTTGTCCCTTGCACTAAGCTTCTGAACATAATCAATTACTTTTGTGTATTGCTGTTCAAGTTATTGAACTGCTCCTCCTTGTGGCTGAAGTTCACAAAGAATCCAAACTATTAACTGACTTGATGTTAGTCTTCTGAGCTGTAAAATAATAATAATAATAATAATAATAATAATTATTATTATTATTATTATTATTATTATTATTATTATTATTATTATCAGTCTCAGCTTCTCCTGTAGTTCTTGCCCTTGGCTTAAGTGATACCCACATGAAATCAGTGTAAGTAACTAGTCAGTAAATTGTCATTACTAGCTAATGTTAATTATTTGAATTTTGAAGACAACATGAGACAATGAATATGTCTGATCTGATCATTTTGAGATTTCAGGTGAAAAGACATATAAATATACTTTTCTGAAAGAAATGATTAGATTTATTTTCTGCTTTGTATGATATGCTTAAAATCATTTAGGAAGAAAAATTATTAGGCAAATAATGTAGGGAAAAGGTTTGGCTGGAAGGGTTATTAAAAACCATGCATGCAATTTTTAACTCGTATATCTTCTTAAGTAAAACTCTTAAGTCAACTGTTATAGAAAGCATGTAACTAGGAGTCCTTTTTCTAATTAAACAAAAATGAGTGAAATACTTGTCTATTTAGTATACTGTTTTAGGAACATATGTATATAATTTATATAGGAGAACCACTGACCTTAATAAGTAAAGCTCCACTGCCTACTGAAACAGCCTACATTTTGGTTTATTAATCCAGGTTAGATTGATTCATTATTTTAGGTCTGTACTTTGTACTCGTATAATGAGCTTACTTCGTTTTAGAAACTGCATTATCCTGAACATCAGCAGCAGTTATGAAATGAGATTAGTTGAGTAGATTAAAAAGATGAAACAGCAGCCTTCAATAATAAATCTTGCCTGCTGCTCTATTGTGAAAATGAAGCAACATAGTTGTGACTGGGCCTACAGATTGTTAAGAACAACTCAACTGACTTTTTGTTAATAAAGATCTCATTTTCCTCTCTTTTCTGTGTGGTGTGAAGTGTTACTCTTGATAAGACTCACAGGCATAACAAAACTGTTGTCATTATGTAAATTTTGTTTTGTAGCTTAATTGTAGCAAATCAAGACACCCTAAATTGACTTGCTTTCAGCTTAAGAAACTCTCTCACTCCTCTGTCATTTGGCATCTTCAAATGGGACAAGATCACTGAATGCAAACTTAATCATGCTTAGATTGGACACATTGAAGTCAGTGAAACTTGTCAATCATAAATGAATTAAGTCTCATGCATTCAGTGGATGTACTCTAAGTATGACTCCATCTAGATCTAACCCTCAGAAAGCTGCCTCATCCCAGGTCAGACTATTTGTCCAGCTATCCCACTATTGTCTCTTCTTGCTAGCAGTGGCAGCCCAGGATCTCAGCTGAGCATCTTCCCCATCATCTGCACCTGATCCTTCCAGCTAAAGTTGCCAGACTTTGGAGTCAGGAAATTTTGTATGCAACACGAGTTTTACCACCGAGCTATTTACCCTGCTTAGGAACAAGCAATATGTGGTTTCTAGAGTTGGGAATATTCCTGGGCTCCTAGGAGATGAATGCATTTGGGAATACATGTATTCTGCTGTTGGGTGTCTTTGCTCAGGCTATTTGCCCTAAAGGGCACAACTTTAGTTGGAGCCAATCAGGTCTGTTTTATAAAGCTCTGTGAATGGGGAGGGATCTCTGTGATGTTGCAGTTCACTCTGTTTACTCTGGGTTGTGTTTTACTTGTTTGTTCTGTACTATATAATCAGTGCCTGTTGAAATATCATGATTTCCTAGAACAGGGGTCTCAAACTCGCGGCCCATGGGCCAATTGCAGCCCGTGGAACAATATTTTGTGGCCCCCACTTGATATCAAAGTTTAGTGATAGTGCAGCCCGCGCGTTTTTCTCACACGCACCTGCGTGAGTTGTTACCCTGGGCACAATGTTCCCTCTAAGCTGCGCGCCGGGACAGGCGGGGCATGGAGGAGGGGCCCTGTGGCCTTCAAAGCGCTGGCGGCACCTGGGCCGGCCTCCAGGAGCGACGCAGGATGAGCGGCCCACCACCATTGCGGTGGTCGGCCTTGGGCAGCAGCAGTGGTGGTGGGCCGCTCATCCCGCATGGCTCCCGGAGGCCGGCCCGCGCACCGCCAGCACTTTGAAGGCCACAGGGCCCCTCCCCCATGCCCCGCCTGTCCCGGCACGCAGCTTAGAGGGAACATTGCCTGGGCGTTCTATATTTTTGTCACCTGTGGGCTACCATATCTCAGGATCATGACAGCAATGCAAATTAACAATGTTAGTCACTTGAAATGTGATTCGGGAGTGTCACCGAGTGAAGGGAAAATATATCCTGTCACCCAGTGCAAATACGTTTTTTTTTTGTCACCCAGCCCCAGTCATGTCTTTCTCAAAACCTGCCGTGAAGAGAAAGGTTGGCGATGAGCACAGACAATTTCAGGAGAAGTGGGAGATGGAATATTTTTTTGTTGAGCACAGGGGCATCCCGACCTGTCTTATATGCACAGAGAAAATTGCAGTGCACAAGGAGTACATCATCATCATCATCATCATCATCATCATTATTATTATAACATTTCTATGCCGCCCCTTGCCGAAACCTCGGGGTGGCTTACAACACAATAAAATACATTGAAATACAATAGAACATAATAAATTACCATTAAATACAAAAATGCAAAAAATACACTGAGTTACAAATATAAAATTAAAATTATCAGTATAAAATAAGTAAATAAAAATATAAGAGGAGAAAAGAGAAGGAAGAAGAAGTTGCCCTGGCCAGATCATATATTTTAACAATTAAAATGATGTTTAAATAAAAAGGTCTTTACCTGGCGCCGAAAAACCAGTAATGACGGTGCCAGGCGGACCTCTTTGGGGAGTGAATTCCATAGGTTGGGCGCCACCGCAGAGAAAGCCCTCCTCCGAGTACTTACTCTCCTAATTTCTTTCATGGAGGGTTCCCGGAGAAGGGACTCTCCCGCAGATCTCAAAGGGCGGTCGGGCATATACAGACGTAAGCGCTCGTTCAGGTAGCCACGACCCAAGCCGTTTAGGGCTTTATAGGTCATAATCAACACCTTGAATTGGGCCCGGGCTTCAATGGGAAGCCAGTGAAGCTGACGGAGGACTGGAGTCATGTGAGCATAACGCCCCGTCCCCGTCAGCAACCTGGCAGCTCTATTTTGCACCAATTGAAGTGTTCGGACTGTCTTCAGGGGAAGCCCCACGTAAAGCGCGTTACAGAAGTCTAGGCGGGAAGTCACCAGCGCGTGTGTCACCGTCGCCAGGCAGTTGTACTCCAGGTAGGGGCACAGCTGATTAATCAGCCGAAGCTGAAGGAAGGCGTTCCTTACCACCGCTGTCACCTGAGCTTCCAAAGAAAGCTCCTGGTCGAGGAGTACTCCTAAGCTGCGGACCTTATCCCTAAGAGGGAGTGTTGCACCATTCAGGACCAGGTCAAATCCACCCTCTCCGAAACCCAATCCGCCAACCAACAGGACCTCCGTCTTGTCTGGGTTGAGTTTCAGTTTATTGGCCCTCATCCATTCCCTTACCTCGGCCAAGCACCGGTTCAGCACAGCCACTGCCTCACCTGGATTAGTGGAAAACGAGAGGTAGAGCTTGGTATCATCAGCGTATTGATGATTCCGCAGCCCACACCTCATCAGATGTCATTACTCAGCTAGACATGCTGAGGAGTATGCAAAATACTAGGGAGATGAGATAGAGGACCATGTCGCCAAACTTAAAACATGACTACTGAGGCAACAAGATTTTTTCAAGAAAGCAAGCAAAGAGAGTGATGCGGCAGTCGAAGCCAGCTACGTAGTGAGTGAGATAATTGCTAAGGCAGGAAAGGCATTTAAAGATGGCGAGTTCATCAAAAAGTGCATGTTACAGGCTGCAAGTATAGTCTGTCTGGAAAAAACGGGTCAGTTTAGTAACATCAGCCTCTCAGCCAACACAGTGGCAGAGCACATTTCTGACCTGTCAGGTAACATTTACGATCAACTGCGTGAGAAAGCTAAACATTTTCATGCATACTCAGTCGCTCTTGATGAGAACACAGACGTCACTGACACTGTGCAGCTTGCAGTATATGTCCGTGGTGTTGACAACAATTTTGAAGTGATGGAGGAGTTACAGTGATTCCAATGCATGGCCAGACCACCGCTCAGGAGATATTCCGCCAGCTGTGTGATGCCATTGCAGATGCCAGCTTACTATGGAAGAGTTTTGCTGGAATAATAACTGATGGAGCGCCATCAATGACAGGGAGAAGAAATGGAGTCATGGCACTTGTTCAGAGAAAATTGGAAGAAGAGGCTGTGGAAGAGGCCATTGCTCTGCACTGCATTATCCATCAGCAGGCCCTTTGCAGCAAATGCCTGAAGTTTGACAATGTGATGTCTGACGCTGTGAAATGCATCAACCATATCAGATCCAGGGGCTTAAAGCACTGGCAGTTCTGCGCCTTTTTAGAGGAAATAGAGTCAGGATATGAGGATGTGCTCTACTACACCGAGGCACGTTGGCTTAGCAGGGGAAACATCTTGAAGAGGTTTTTTGAGTTGAGAGCAGAGGTGAAAACCTTCATGGAGAAAGATGGGATGGCTGTTCCTGTACTAAGTGATCCCAAATGGCTCATGGACTTAGCTTTTCTTGTTGACATCACATAGGAGCTGAATGTACTGAAAAAGAAATTACAAGGCCAGGGGCAGCTTGTCAGTTCTGCCTATGACAATGTCAGAGCATTCTCCACAAAACTTGTGTTACGGAAAGCCCAGCTTTCTCAGACAAACCTCTGCCATTTCCCAGCATGCAAGGCACTCATGGATTCTGGCACACCATTCAGCGGTGAGAAGTATGCTGATGCCATTGTAAAGCTACAGGAAGAATTTGATCACAGGTTTGCAGATTTCAAGACACACAGAGCCACTTTTCAAATTTTTGCTGACCCCTTCTCCTTCCATGTGGAAGATGCTCCCCCCCCCCCATGCTTCAAATGGAGCTAATTGACCTGCAGTGTAATTCTGAACTCAAAGCCAAGTTCAGGGAGGTGAGTGGAAAAGCAGACAAGCTTGGACAACTCACAGGGAGGTGAGTGGAAAAGCAGACAAGCTTGGACAACTCACAGGGAGGTGAGTGGAAAAGCAGACAAGCTTGGAGAGAATTGCCCCTTACCTTCCCTGAGCTTTCCAGGATGTTCAAGCAGACCATGTGCATTTTTGGGAGCACCTATCTGTGTGAAAAGCTCTTCTCCACCATGAACTTTAATAAGTCAAAGTTCAGGTCCAAACTTACTGATGAGCATCTTCAAGCCATACTGAGGATCTCAGTTGCTTCCTCCCTCAAGCCAAATGTGGCTCAGCTGTGTAAGAGGAAGTGCTGTCAGGTCTCTGGCAGCAAGGAGTAGGAGGAAGTAAGAGAAGCCTATGTTCTGAAGAACCATTCATGTTGTGAATTATTATTAGTAAAGATTGAGAAGATTGGATCAGTTGTACTTTTTTTGGAATACTTGAAATCCCATTTTTGTGGAATACTTGATGCGGCCCAGCCTCACCCAGACTCTACTTCCAGCAGCCCCTAGGTAAGTTGAGTTTGAGACCCCTGTCCTAGAATAATCTCTTTCAATTCCATTGAGGTAGCTTCTGGGCATTAGTAGGTTTTCCTAGTGTCTAAATTCATTTTGAAAGTGTGGCCATGGACTGTACTTGTTGAGTTTCTGCCTTCAGATTATTTCTCCAGTTTTTCAAGAGTATACAGGAACTGGGTAATGGTCTAGATACTGGTGAAATGTCACAACTCATGGGATTGGACCTACAAACTTACCCTGCCTTAGCAGATACACTAGAAGCCCACATCAGGATTGTGATCCCAATGCCCCCAGTCAGTTGCCAGTTATGTCCCTTTATAGCCCATTGAAGCTGTAGATAATGTCAGCACTTGTTTCAATATCTCATTGTCATTATACAAAACAGTTTATTCAGGGGGAGAAAACCCAGACTGCCTTAGTATCTAAAAGAGGGGAAAAATAGAACATTTCAATGTATAATTAATGTTATTAACATTGTTTTCCTTACAGAAAACAGATGAAAATGTAGAAATAATACTGCTGGGTAACAAGTGTGATAAGGAGACTGAACGTGTAATTCCAAAAAGCAGAGGAGAAAAGGTAAACATTGGTGACAAGTATATGTGTCATACCTCATGAGAACATTTGGGTAGAAACAGTGTAAGCAGATATTGTAACATAATCCTGAGTTGCATTTTTTAAAATTAATTGTTGGAAAAATACTATGTTTCAATATAGAAGTTAGGTATAGCAAGCCATGAATCATTCCAGTTACATAGCTACAATATTTCTTTTATGCTTGGTTACGTACAAAAAAACCACCAGCACCACTGTGGCAGAAGCTATTTATTCTACCTTGAATCTTGGTTTTTCTCAATTCTGCTTAAAAACTGTAAGCCAGGGGTCTCAAACTCGCGGCCCGCAGGCCAATTGCCAGGACGGGCGGGGCACGGGGGAGGGGCCCTGCGGCCTTCAAAGCGCCGGCGGCGCCCGGGCCGGCCGTGGGATGAGCGGCCCACCCCCACCGCAGTGGTGGGATACTTGATGCGGCCCAGCTTCACCCAGACTCCATTTCCAGCGGCCCCCAGGTAAGGTGAGTTTGAGACCCCTGCTGTAAGCAGATTTAAAATTTACAAAATGTATTATTTGGGAAATCCACATAGGTACTATCTAAAACATAATACAATACTGAATTCTATTGGTATTTGGTGCCTTTGTAAACCAGTACATTTTCATAAGAACCAAAATTAATAAATGTTATCTTGTATTGCATACAATAAAGCCAATCCTGGAAATACACATGGAAGGATTTCACTATAAATTTTAACTATAAATGTACAAAAATGACAATTGTGTTTGTAGTATTCTTAGTTTATATGAATGTTGGATTCTGAAAATCCCATTTGTGCAATTTTCTGAAGAAAGGAAGTTCATTAAATATCTTGAAGATGAAAATCATGGGATAGTTAAGTGTTCACATTTTGACTCATTAAATGTCTAAGTATTTGATCACAAGGCATACCTTCCTGACATTAAAATAATTAACAGTACAATCTTATAGATATATGCTCAGAAGCAAATTACACTGAGTTCAATGGAGTTGACTCTCAAGTAAGTTCTTAATGCTGCTAATTTTTTAACTTACTTATTTACTAGATTTTAATCTATCCAATAATAGACATGACTTGGTTCACTTAGTCCATCATGAACAAGTAATGGTTGGTTGTTGAGTTATCCAAATCCAGACCGCTTTCTCAGAGTGGCTTGGTTTTTTTCCTCCAGCAAATGTATTTCCTGTGTGAGCTAGCTAAATGTAACCAAGTATGCCAGAAGTCTGGCTTTGCTATTATGTGTAATAAAATTGAGACAGTTATGGCTGCTTTAGTTATAGTTACTATGGCAGAGAAACTTCAAACCGGCAGTTTGAAAATGAAGCCTTTGTATTAAATAGGTACAGAGGGGTTGGTTTGTTTGCAATGGTTAAAGACGTTGTAGTTTTTGTAACTTCTGTACTGCCCAATAGTCAATGCTCTCTGCACAGCTTGCAACAGTTCAGTGTAGCAGTCCTAACTGTGAAGTCTGTTGGAAAATGTTCTTACAAGCTATGGCAGAGGTCCATTGACCCAAGCCTCTTAGTTTTACAAAGGGGGGCATTAATGGGATAGCCCCATTATTTCTTGAAGCTTAAATATGAAGATGGTGTTGTGTCAGTTGCTGCTTTTCAGCAATTCCCCCTTTCCTGTTCCAAACCATTGCTCTGTTTCTCTCTAGAGGGTTCCCCCATCATCATTAATGGATTTTGAGGGAGCTGGAGAGAGAAGGAGAAAGCAATGATCTCTGGGAGGCCCTGCCTTTCATTTGTGGCACAGAAGTTTGCATCTGCCCTGTACCAGCACCACAGAAAGCTCTAAGCAACTTGGGTCAACAAAATATAGGACTAAAGCTTATGCCTGCAGGCCCAAATCATCTCTTCCAGGTTCTACCTTTCAGTGGAAGACCTTAAAGCGAACATGTTGAACTTCATTCAGCCCAAGACCTGAATTCTAGTCTGGAGGGGCAAGGGCAAAAGTGGCAGGATCAAAAGCTAAAAAATACCAGCTTATTTTAACTTAAAGCTCTTACTGCCGGTAGGTAAGCCCTTTCAAAGGCATTTCATCCTTTCTGAAGGGGAAAATTACTTCACCACCACCACTACCCAAAAAACAACAAACAAAAAAACCCCTGATCCATGGTTGGAGACCAGGGTAGGGCCAGTGGGAAGGGGTCATGTGGCCCCACAGCACCAACTCAGGACCCAGGAGGGTTGATTTGGGGCCCTGGACCTGAGAATATGGAGTCTTGCTTGTGTCCAGATCCACCAGAAATCTGACATTTGGCCTGGGTGACATTTCAGGCAAGGAGGCTCAGTGTGGTCCAGGCAGCTGGGTAACATCTGGAGCTTTGGTCAGATTCAGGACCTTGGTCAGTGACCCTGAAGCCAGATTACTGATTTATAATTCTAGCTGAATCTGAGAGCAACTGGCAGGCATTCATGAGCAAACCAGGAGAATCCGTCTGAAACACCACCCTCCAGGTGCTGCATCTGGCTGTTAATGGGCCATCAGCCTTTCCCTGGAGACATTGGCTTCTTCTTGGGAATGAAGGCTGGAGTGATAAGACACTAGAGGAGGCCAAAGTCCACTGCTCAAAGTCCAAAGGTAATAGTACCATCTGAAGGTTGTGTAGATAAGCTGTAGGGTCTGAAGCAGTGGGCCCCACTCAAAGTACCAGGAACTGGTTTTGATGGCTTTGCAGGGTCACTGCTTTTGGATGCATCAGTTTCTGAGAGATGCCATTCTTGGGGCATGGCAGCCTTAAAGGAACACATCTCTTGCTTTGAGCCTAGTATTCCCCCCCGCACTTCCTCTGACAGTGCAGGCTGTGAATGTAAGCCCTTGTTGGCTGGGCCCCGTCACAATACGGAAGTCTGTGTCATTTTCCAGCGTTTTGCCTCCAGCACTACTTGCTGAATGGAGGTGGTGCTGAGGGAACTAAAGCACATCCTTTTTCTGGAAGTGGATAGGGCTGGAAAGGAGCAGGTGCGAGAGGCTTTGTGTTTGGTCAGATGGATTTGTGTATTGTGGACAAACACTCTCTTCCACACAATATTGCTTGCAAGAGAGTGCTCACTGTATAATGCAGACCAAATATAGTAGGACATACAGTATCTTTTAGCTGTTACCTTAGAAATAATTATCTTGTTATGAAAAAGTATGATCATTTCCATATGTGTTTCCATATCTTTCCTTGAAGGGTCAGGATATATGAAAATTAGACTTTTACTTGATCCATACACCTACATAAAGGCTTCCTACAGAAGAAAGGAAAACTCTAGATTCATTTTTTGGACAATAATGTGAGATTTAGACAACTAAAAAAAAAAAAAAAAGCTACAATGATGAAGATTCACAAGGGGGCAGTATTACAGTATCCCACTGCCTGCCTTCTGAATATTTCAGTTCATCTTTCAATTCTATGGTTAACTGAATCACTTTTTGTTAATGGAACAAATCCATTACCAGCTCTCATTATCAGTCCCCTGTCTAGATTTATTTTGTGTTCTGATTTGCCCTTCTCTGTCACAATATGAGAGATTCTTGTTTCTGCCTATTAGTGAAATTATTCTAGCAAGCAAAACATTCTAGTATTACACACTTGCTCCAATTTTACCACAAATCAAATCAGACTCCTGTAGTATAAGGACATGGAATGCTCAACTAAACTGTTAAAGTAGTAGTGATATAAATCCTCCTAAAAAGTAGCACTTTTTAATCATGATAGAAATCACTGTGAAAAAGACTGATTTTTGAATCATTGACTTAAATTATGGATTTTAAAGTATTATAAGGTTTCCCCATTGATATTTCATGTCCTAAACAATTATGGATATTAGTCTGAAAACATATTAACATGGACTATGAATGAGCAATCCTATCCAAGTCTGGGCAGAAAAAAGGTCTTGTGTCCCAAGAAAAGTAAACTTAGATAATGATCCCATGGTCCCTAGACATAATCTGGGAGGCCATAGGATAATTCAGATTTCCTTCAGACACCCTTGTAACTGGTGGGGAAAGAACTGTGCTGGCTGAGCTTTGAGGCTGGGGAAGCAGCCTTAGAGAGGGAGAAAGGGGGTGTATTGTGGGATAGGGAGCAGACAAGACTAGGGCAACCAGGATGCAAGATATCCTGGAACAGCTCCACTTCTCTTCATTCTCCTTTGGGGATGCCTTTGCCACACTGCTGAAAAAGGCCACCTACCTAAATGAGATGAACAGGGAGGTGAAGATGGCCTCTGCTGCTCCTCTTGCTTTGCATTGGATGAGCCTGAGCCACTGAGTTCAAAGGTTCATGTTCCTTTCAGTAGGGTATGATTGTGCCTTTAAGGGAGATTTTGGAACGGAAGTCCCCCAACCCAAATCCTCCCTGGATTTTTTTCTCGCTCTGCCACATTCTCTGACTAAAAATATTAAAACATGATGTGTAGCTGGTAGAAATATAAATAGTTAGACAATATGTTACTTTTCAGCCAGGAACACCAGGCAACCTTTTCAAGATTTTGAACTATTTTCAATTACTCGTTTCTTTCTTGAAGTATCCTTAAGTTTTCTATAGTATTTTTATTTTTAATATTGCTAATTCTGTATCATGATTTTGAATATGTTATGGATTAGATGTTTTTAACTCTACTGTGAATCACTTTGGGAAGGTTAATTCCTGAAAGATAGCTTATAAATGCCACAGTAAGTGAACCAATCAAGGAAAGTTGCCAGATACAAACCCTCACATGAAATTAATAGTGTGGCACTGTATATTTGGCAACTTATAAATGAACCAAAGAAAGGAGGGACTAATCCATGCAAACTGTTCAGGTAATTCTTGACTCTAAGATGACTAAGACTAGATTGAAAGGTTGTGTGAGCAGAAGCCACTTTTGCTCACGCACGGCAGGAAGGAACCTTTTTTTTCTGGGGTGATTTCCCCATCTTGCTGGGGCCTCTCACATGTGAGAGGGTCCTTTAACTTTTTCAGTTTGCAGCAGAACCCTGTGGGTAAACCAAAAAATTCATGGAACAAAACTAAAGGTTCAAGCTTTTGCTTGGATGGGATTTTAGGAATCTTCTTAAAATAACCCATTAAAAGATCTGTTTCTCCTTGGTTTATTTCTGTTAGCACACATATCCAATCTTTTTGATTTCTCCCATGTACTGAACTATAGAAACCAAAGGAAACCAGTAATTACTGTTGCTCAAAATAGCTATTGACTTTGTGCCTTTTCCTCCAACACTATGCTGAAGAAAAAAATATGCTGAATTCCAGGCAAATAATGAAATGGGTTTCTCAAAAAGGCGTATGTATCCTTTTTTCCCCCTCAGTCTATTTGGCCTCCTTTCCCAAGATCTCTCCACAGGGAACTTGCCAGAGATGTTCAAAATGCATATCTGAGAAATGTCACTACAAATTCCCCCAAACCCATTTTAAAAGACTTGTATCATTCCTACACTAGTGATACTTTAACTGTTAAATAAATACCCACTACATTTATTCCACACTAGTGGAAACTGATTGACTGACTCAATTTAAGAAGCCACGATGTTAAATTTACAAGAGCTGAGCAGGGCTTTCATGGGCAGGACATTTTGGAAGTCATTCCATAAATGACTCGATGGCACATACTAACAACAACAACGTGGAAACTGAAGTGGGTGATGATTAACTTTTTTTAAAGTGAAGCAACAAGTCATTTTTCATGGAAATATTTCAGTGTGAAATTGGGAATGAATGTGTAGAGCGACTGATTCAGGCATGCTTTGATTTGGTCATGCTATCAGCTGCTTTGTGCTAGTGCTTTGTTGTGGGAGGCAAACGTGAAGTGCTTTTTTGCGTCCATAGGAGTGAGAATTCAAACTCTTTCACAACTCTCATTGATTTCAGTAGGCTTTGCACAAGAGAATTTCCAGCAGCAGTTGAGCAAAGGGCAGGTGAAAGTAAGATCAAATCAATACATGTCCCATTTCACAACCAAGCAGTTCCAGCACCACCAAACAAGCATATAGGAAGGTCGAACAACTTGTGAAGAAATGCCAGGCATCGAACCTGCGTCCTTCTGTGTGCAAAGCAGGTGCTCTACTACTGAACTATGGCTCTCCCTAAATATATGGCTCTTTATTCATTTAAGCATACCTGCTAGCCCCTAATTGGTGTTTCCTGTTGGATTGGTCTATAGCGTCCAGCATTGCTGACTGGTGGATGCTGGGAGTTGTACGTCAACTATTTGGATCATAAATTTGGGCAAATCTGTGCTCGCTGTATGTAAAAATATGTCATCCTTGTGAATGAAAACTGTACTGTTTCTAACCTGGCTAGTGAGAGATGCATTTGCAATTTTTAAAGAAATTAACCAGAATTTCCTGTAAAGTATAAGTGAAGGGGAAAGGCAACCTCATCACTCACCAACTACGTTGTACATTTGAAATGTTGTTTGGGAGTTGTTATCCAATAATTTGGGGAACAGGTATTTATGAGCCAGAAATATCTCAGAGCAGAATTATGTCCTAGTCTTAAACTATTTACATTGAAATACAGTTCAATGATTTCACTATGTGAAATAATCTAATCAGGATTGTGTAAGCATCTTTTTAATTAGATTTTTATTTGAATTGCACTGTACTTTAGATATGGTAGTATCAGAGTACAATATATAGTTCACAGTTCTTTTTTGGTTTTGCAGCTTGCTTGGGAATATGGAATACCCTTTTTTGAAACCAGTGCTAAAGACAATATAAATATTGAAGATGCATTTTCAGTGCTAGCCAAAGAAATACTGAACAACGTAAGTTTTCTTGAAAGAACCTTTTCTTTCCTTAACCAAATCTGGTGAAATGGGAAAGATGGGCTGTAGGAACATGAGGGAAACTGGCTATCTGTAGCCTGTGTGTACTGCAGTCTTTACTTGAACAACTAAGGAAGTTTTGAAGATTGACTATGTGCCAGGAAAGGAATGTGGTCATAGAATTCATAAGAGTATGGTTGGAAGAGGCCAAGAGGGCATCAGGTCTAACCCCCTGCTCAGTGCAGGATTCCAAGTTAAACCATCCCTCTCAGATGGCTGTCCAGTTTCAGCTTGAGTGCTTCCAGTGTGGGAGGGCCCACAGCCTCCCTAGGTAATTGGTTCCATTCTGATACTGCTCTAATAGTCAGGGAGTCTTTCCTAATATCTACCCAGAATCTGGCTTTCGTAACTTGAGACTGTTACAAAAGCCTCAAGTTGCATGCCCTGCACTCTGGGATGATCAAGAAGACATCCTGTCCTTTCTCTTTGTGATAGCCTTTCAAGTACCTGTAGAATGCTATTGTATCTCCCCTCAGTCTTTTCTTCTCCATGGTAACATGTCCAGTTCTTTCAATCTCTCCTTATTTGTTTCCAGTCCCCAGATCATGTGTGTTGGTCTCCTCTGAATCCTTTCCAGCTTTCCTGCATTTTTTAAGACTGTGGTGCCCAGAACTGGATGCAGTACTCCAGATGAGGCCTAACCAGTGCTAAGTAAAAGAACACTAGCATATCATATGATATTGATTGATTGATTGATTGATTGCACTGGTATGCCACACCGCTTAACCATAAGGCTGTCTGAGTGGCTTACACTGCATTATGATAAAATAATAGATAAATAACAGATAAAACAATTCGATTTCAACAATACATATAAACAATACATAATAAACTATTAAAAGCAAAGCGATAAAAAGGGACAATAAAATTTTACATTCAATTATTAAAACAATTTTAAAGAATCATTTAAATAAAATTATGAATTTATTTTATAAATAAAATTGTTGGCAGCTAAAATTCTTTACATGGCAGGAGCAACAATAAAACCAAGGTGGAAACCATTAAAACCAACACAACTCACTCACCAAATAGTTACAGAAAAGGAATGTTTTCAACAGGTGTCTAAAAGAAAATAGAGAAGATGCCTGGCACATTTCTGTTGGAAGCAAGTGGGGGGCTATTGCTGAAAAGGCCCTTCTCCTAACCATCTCCCCACTTACTTCATGGAGAAGAGGGATTCTGAGAAGGATCTCTCACCACCTCAGTGATTGGGCTGGGACATATGGAGATAGGTGTTCCCTCAGACATCCTGGCCCCAACCCATTTGGTGCTTTCTGTGTTATCGTAAGCACTTAGCATTGAGCCTGGGTGGCAACTGGCAGCCAATGTATCCTGTGAACAACTGCTCCAGAAGGTCCCCTGATTTCTGGAGCAAATTTGGGGGGAATGTAGGGGGCTGCGGAGGGTAAGGAGAAATCTGTGTTGCCGGGAGTCTTTTCCCACTGGCAGAAGAACACAACTGGATTACAACACTTTGATTTGAAATCACATAGGCCAATATTCTTGAGCTTGGTGTTACCCCTCTGGAGGATTTGAACTACAGCTCTTTCCACTCCCAGCCAATCTGATCATGGAATGCTAGGAACTGTTGTTCAAAACATCTGCAGGGTATCAGGTTGGGGAAGGCTGACACCAGCCTTAGCCCAACTACGAGAAGAAAGTTATAATTTGCCTTCTTGAACTGTAACACTAGAAACACAGAATTTGCATTCACATTAAAATACAGTTTAGCATTGTGAACTCATGTGTTCTCCCCCTTTCTTCTGGTGCAACTGCAAAGATATTGAAAGCCTTTGCTTTAATTTTCAGTTGAGAAAATTATCACTGAATCAGAACAGAATCTGATTAGCTTTAACTATGGTTTAAGGCTGAGGCAGGATATCTGTGGCTCTCCAGTATTACTGAACTATTACTCTCAGTGTCCCTGATCAATGATCAGGCTAACTGGAGTTGATGGGAGCTGCAGTCCTCAAGCAGCTGGAAGACCAAAGGAAAGCAAGAAGGATAATTTTTTTTAAAAAAATTTGAAGCTGACTTGTTTCTTGAACCATCTCATTAAAACTAATTGTACTTTGTCCTTAAGAACACCACTATAATTAAATACAAAAATAAAAATCCCAATTCCTTCACACCCACACAGGAGAGGAGTATGGAGAAGTCCAAGGCTTGTTCATATTAACATGAAGCTACAGTTTCACTGTTATGTTCTATCACAGCCATGGTGTTTTGCAAACACAGCCTTGCTATGCAATATGTCACTTCTAATAGCTGTGCCTTTTTTTGCTATTGCAGGAATAATTCTTTCCTAACTATATCTTAATGACAACTCCTATCAATAAAAATGTTAAGCTTATTCTCTGACATGTGTTTTGACAAGATCCAGCAGACTGAATTAGCTTCAGCATCTGGGAAAGAGAGAGAGCTGTCTGGTTGACCATACATGTGTTCACATTTTTCAGAATCTGCTTTTCATTCACTTCGCGATTGACTTATATTATGGAATACTTACTATTATTTGGTTAAAAAACCTGTAGTGAATGAACATCAGTTTGTAGTAGTTTTAATACAGTCCAAGTGCTACTTGAGCAACACGGTCCAGTATTAATTTTTGGAAATCATTGCTCCAGGATGCAGTTATGACCACTAGTTCAGACAACTTTAAAGTAGGATTAAGCAAATTCATAGAGGATACTTCTCTCAACAGCATATAATATTGTATGAAAACTTCAAATTATGGAGAAGGTATGCCACTTAATGCTAATCTCTGGGAAACAAACATCATGGGAGGACTATTCCCTTCAAGCCCAGCTTTAGGAGTTCCCAAAGGTATTTGGTCAGCAGCTTTGGCAAAGAGGATGGGGAATTAGATGGACCTGTGCTTAAATCCTGCATCATATTTAGAAAGTGAAGACTTTCCTTCACTCTTACAGCCCTCCCCTATATGGCCACTCAAACTTACTTGAAAGCCCCCAGCCTTTAAAGCAGATGGAGGGCATTTTGGCTGTAGAGGAAAGAGAAATCCATCCTACCAGCTGTTTTTACTGCACTGGATCAGGCAACAAGGATCAAAGGGCTGGAGGCAAGTGTATCATGTGAGCATAAGAGAATGAGGGTGGCAGTTGCAAATACCAACAAAGCTAAAGGGCATGCAAGGACAATAATTAAACCACTGACTTCTAATATGGATACAGCAGTCATATAATTAATTATGATTGCATACGCATCATACACAGAATAAGATCCAAATGAATAATACACAAAGGCCAATGAAAGATGAACTCTACAAAAACAAAACAAAATGATCCAAACTGAAATACACGTAACATGTTGGAAGTAGACTAATTGTATATTTTTAAAGAAGCAACATACTAACAAAGTGGCTACCAGAAGTATCTTGCCTCATTGAATTCCATCAGGTGGTAGTATCACTGAATAAGCAAGGGTCTTCTTCCACATACATGCTTTCAGTTCCTTCCCAAAATGACCATCAGCTGCCTAAAAGTCAAGATCATAAAATGCCTTCCCCAATATTTCTACATTTTCTTCAATAACAGTTTGTCAGGAGGCGAAATATAAGGCAATAGTTGTGTGATCGTTACTGCTGAATACTTGAATAGGAACCCCTCTTCAATTATAGTAGTTATGTGCATTAGTTGGAATGATGTGAGGAATCCATCAAAAAGAGGAAGCAGGAGGATAGGAAGAGCCCTCAAGCTTAAGACAAGTTACTTGTACTGATGATCTGGCTTGGCCACAGAGGTTTTATAGGGTTGGGTATGTCCAGTGAAGACCTCTATGCCTGCCTCCCCCAGCTTGGAAAAGCAACTTCAGAACCTCTACAGAGGGGGGGATTCTGGAAGGCCAGGGAAGGGAGGAAGCAGAGAGGCTGGGGTACAAATTATCTGAAGTCTTTTCCAGCTTCCCTTCCCTCCCCCACAAAGGGCCCTTGCAGGATTGCCTGAAAACCCCACTTAGTGAGGAATCAGAGAGCAGGGAATACGGAGGCAAGTATTATCTCTGTTGTTCCTCCTGCCCTGCTGGCTTGAAGGGTGCATGTTTCCTTAAGATCTAGTCTGCTTGGCCTTCTGAGGACCTGGAGAGCAGGTAGTACAGGAAGTAAGTTGCTGCTGGAGGCCCTGGTCCAAGCCTCCACCTGCTGTCTTAGCACCTTGCACTTTCAGTCTCTGTGATACAGGAAATAATTATGTGACTGACTTACAGGACTATACTTAAGCAAAGCTCATATACATACCTTCCTGGAATGGCGCAGTGACCATTAACAACCACTGATGATAGGCCTGCCTTGCCGCAGGGAAACCCCACGTTGTATCTGATTAGCTTTGCCTTCTGATGGAAGTTTTCATCAGCAGAACAGGAAGAGGGGAAAAAGCTATCAGCATTCACTCTGGAGGCTTGGGGGGCAAATTTTGGGAGGGTGCAGGAGTTTACATGGGAAAGGGGAAGTCCCACTGTGCAAGTGGAAATCTCACACTGAATTTCACCCTCTTTTACAAGCCATAAACAATTACAGTGCTATTGCAGAATGCTACTTTGAAAGTTTCTAATAAGATGATAATTCTTATTTTAAAAGTTCAAAGTATTTGTTTTACAAGCTTCTCTGCATGCGCTGGTCTTACTTACATGTTTTGTTTTGTTTTTAGAGTTCCAGTCTGCTGCTTGACTTAGATGTGGTGGACCTTAGTCGAAAAGCACAAAAGAGAGCTTGTTGCACATGGTGATAGACAATTTGGTCTTTCTTCTGATCATGTTATTTATTTTGTACATAAACTTTTTAACTTGTAAGATATTAAGGTAAAGAAAAAATCCAGTTGTTAAGTACTGATAGTAACAAAGCAACAACACTCTCTGTACGTTCTTTGTTTTCTTTAATTGTGAAAATAAACAGCTCTTATATTTTGCACTTAAGGACAGCCATGACACAAAGTATCCTTAAATATAAGCATAAATGTTATACTATAACATAAGGAGGGAGAACTTTGAACTCAATAGCGTGAAAGTACATCTGAAAGGGCTACAGGAAGTAATATACAAGGCAATTTACAACATTACAAGAAGAAATGCCTTTGCCAAGATGGCACGCTATGTAAAAATACAAACTGATATGGGTAAAGCGGCCATATCCCGGTGCCCTTCCGTTGTGTTGGACTACATCTCCTAGTGTGTGCTCACCAGGGATGTTGGATGTTGCAGTCTAACACAATTGGATGGGGAAGGGGTGGAGGAAAAGAAAAGTGAGCTGTACCTCATCAACACTCATTATAAAAAGAATAAGCTCACCAATTTGTTCAAAAGGAATTCCACAAAGTTTAATGCAACTTTTATTTGGCCCTAAAACAAATGGGAGATGTGCAGCAGAAATCACATGATACATTCCTGCCTGGGCGACACTGTTTAGCAAATGAACAGGTCAGAATGAAGTCTGTGCTAGAACCTGATGTATTTTCATGAAGATTTTTCTTGCAGGCCATGTGGCACAGTCCACCAATGACTAACGTGTGGTTCTACCAAATGTGTAGCCTAGCTTGGGAATGCCAGTTGACTGGGGCCAACAGAGCGCAGGGAGTATTAGCAGACCCTTGGCTGTTTATCCATGCCAAAGGAAAAGTTTTTTCTCATTAATTGCCATACAAGGGTGGATTTCAAGGGGAATGTCAGCTGTGAAGGCCAGCCATGCCTGCTGTGATTGTTAGTAGAATCATATTACTTATTTCTTAATTTGCATATTTAGATATGATTGACATATGCAAATATATGCTGTTTAGTGTCCTATGCCCCTGGGTTCCAAATGAGCCCCTATGCCTCTATCTAGTATTAGTCCCACTTAGAGTAGCTTCAGTCTTTCATTTCAATGGGTGTACTGTAGGTAAGACTAACATTGGATAGCACATGTTGCTAGATAATATAAATGCTCTCCAGTGTAGTTTTCTAAGAAAGGTTAAACAGCTTCTGTAGAAACTGAAAAGTAGCTGTATAAACATCTTGACATTCTAAAAATATGCATCTGGAAGGTAGATTTACCTCAGATTTATCTCATTAGTCAGGTATTTAGAGGAATAGAAAACATAATGGTAAATTTTTATGAATGTATGTATGTAAAACTTTTCTATCCTGTCCACTACCGAGGTCTGAGGATGGTCTTACAAAAAAGCAGTACAGAAAATGAAAGTGTTCCTTATGAAGACTACAACTATCAGTCAATTGTTTTGACTCAGGTACTAAGAAAGAACTGTATTTATGTAGTGATTTAGTATTCATGTCAACAAAAGTTAGGCTGCAATCCAACCCCAAGTTCTGAATTGTCATGCATCAGGAAGTGTTAATAGTATATAGTGTTCCATATAAAGCTCTGAAGAAGGTTTATAATTTTGTAAATGGAGATAGTGACAGTTTTGATTTTCCTGGGCTCCAAGATCACCGCAGATGGGGACTGCAGCCAAGAAATTAAAAGACGCTTGCTCCTGGGGAGGAAAGCTATGGCAAACTAGACAGCATACTAAAAAGCAGAGACATCACCCTGCCAACAAAAGTGCGTATAGCCAAGGCTATGGTTTTCCCAGTTGCAATGTATGGCTGTGAAAGCTGGACCATAAGGAAGGCTGAGCACAAAAGAATTGAGGTCTTTGAATTGTGGTGCTGACGGAGACTCCTGTGAGTCCCTTGAACAGCAAGGCGATCAAACTGGTCAGTTCTAGAGGAAATCAACCCTGACTGTTCTTTAGAAGGCCAGATCCTGAAGATGAAACTCAAATACTATGGCCACCTAATGAGAAGGAAGGACTCCCTGGAGAAGAGTCTAATGCTGGGAACAATAGATGGCAAAAAAGAAGGGGACTAGATGGAGTCACTGAAGCAGTTGGTGTGAGCTTGAGTAGACTCCAGGGGATGGTGGAGGACAGGAAGGCCTGGAGGAATGTTGTCCATGGGGTCGAAATGGGTCGGGCACGACTGCGCAACCAACAACAACAACAAGCCAACTTTGTGATTATTTTTTCACAGGTAAGTTGCCTTTTTGAAGGACATTCATAAGCTGCCACAGTTTTTAGTACAAATTGTGAACTGTGATGGGGAGGGAGAAGAGCACTTTCTGCCCAGAGGGCTGGTAGGACTATTGGCTGTTGCTGCCTTTGATTGGCAGGAACTGAGAACAGATTCTGCAGCCTGACAAGGTTATAGACCCTGCATTTCCCCCTTATCAGCTTCTATTCCATCCTTAGAAGTCCTGGGGTAAATCAACCTTCCAAATATCCTCACTTACAGGGAGCAATAAACAAAGCCATTGGGCATTCATTTTACTGGGCATTACTTGATCTATCCTGAGAATTCTTCCCAAGTAAATGTGCCTTGGATTGCAGCCCTATATTGTATTAACTCAAAGCAAAAATGTAGCAGTCAAACTGAAATAAGCAGTTACATATCTGGGACTAGTTTACACATGTAGGCCAGTCTGTGCTTTCATCCTGCTGTGCCTCCCAACTTCCCTGGGTACAGGATGGCATGGGGGGAAAAGCCTAACGTTTGAGTGGTGCTACATCTGCAATTTCCTAGGCGTTTAGCTTTAAAAACTGCTACCACAGTTGCACGTACTGAAGCAGAAAGTATCCAGAGTGGCAGTGCATGACATTGGTCTATAGGATTTTTTATCTGGGAATGCCCAGAGAAATGGTATAAGGGAAATAAGTATCTGGCTTACATGTTTGAAGTAGGTTAAAGTGTGCACTCCATCCCAGTTTTAGTTTCTGTTATAAATTCAAATAGTCTCTGGCCCAATCATTATGAGCACTGGCGAATATCAATAGAATCAGGTGTACTGTTTAAGGTACACTGGTATCTCTTGGTAAAAGGGAATTCAGTGGCATATAGTCTATAGATTATTGTACACCACTGTGTGATCTTTTTTGAAAGCTGCAAAGTTTCCTGAACAAAAATCCAGGAATTAGTTGCAGAGCAACACTTGATAAAAGTCACATACTTGATAAAGGTAGTAGCACTATCCATTCAAATGTGGAATTTTAATTTCTTTATTGTGCAATGTCTGTTGCAACTTGTTTTAAAAGGGGAAAGAGTTTCTTTGAAGAAATCAGGTGCTTTATAAATGTAGTAGGGTGCCATATGGGTTATGGTCAAAATAAAATATGTAACTCAAGTTGTGCAACTTTATATCATTGCTAGCATGAATGGAAAAATGCTAGTAATACTGCTTCAGTGAAAGTATCCTTCTGCGCCTTCCAAAGACATCAAATTTACTGCAAAATTGCATCCTGCCCTTAAAGCTATTCCATTCTTCTTAAAAAGCCCATATATAGTATCACTCTTTCAGATCAGCCATTTATTTCCCACAGTCTGCCACCTTCAGAAGTACTCTTCAAAATACTGTTGGCACTCATAATTTTCAGTTCTTTCTAACCTGCTCACTGAATCTTTTCAAAGGGTTAGAATCAGAGCAAAAGAGAATAGCTGACAAATATTAAACACTCTCTCCTGCTTTTCATCCTCTCTATCAAGGTAGCAAGAAGCCTCAGGCTTCTCCTGCATGAGTCACTAAGCTCAGGTGCTCAGATAGCATTTATGACGCACGTTGGTTTTTTCCCCCCATCTAAATTTTGCTCGGAGGTAATTGCACAACCACCCTGGCCATAGAAGGAAATGGTTGTCATTCATAGAAAAATTATGTAAGGCATTTTGCAACCCAAAAGATGTCTTTACTGATATGTAAATAACAGACTGTAAAACATTTTTTGCTATTCACACAAATTGGAGGGCAAAGTCCCAGATGGTAGCTTGAGTGAACTCCAAAACATTACATATCATTCCTACTCTATCAGGAGCCAATGCAAGAGCAATTTTTGGCATTAAAGGCCAATTCCACTGTAACATTATCTTTTTCAGAGGAAATATAGTAAAACAAAAGATTGTGTGGATGCAAAACCAGTATGTATTTTGTAAGAAAGAGTTGTGAGCCTGTAAGACTCAAGTATCCTTGTTTTTTAAAAATGAAAGGTACATTTTTATGTAATGTTAAGCAATATTTTTTTTCAACTGTTCAGTCAGTAGAGTTGTCAAAAGCTCTGTATCTTAAACAATTGCCCTTTACTCTAGAACTTCACTTGTATTTTGCATTTGGAAGCATCTCAAACATGGCTGGCTCAGGAAGTCTCATCACTAAATCTCTAAATGAGATGCATTCTCTCTTTCACTCCCGCTTGTGTAGGTTGCCATATAAAGAAGCAAGTAACCAGTATCTGTTTACATCTGAGATGACTCTCAGTGACCAGCTGTAGTGGTGTGGTGGTAAATTCTGACGGGCAGGTGCTCATCATGACAGCCACCTTAGCCATACCCCGAGAAGAGTTGGCAGACACTGGGTTGACCTATCTGTGTGTGTGTTATAATGTCTTTCACAGCTCTTTTGTGAACCTAATGCTGAAGCCACTCCAAATACAATATAACAGGGATACCTCAGCAATATACTGTTGCTGAGCAGATGCATCCCCCCTCAGCTACTATGAGGATTACTGTTAAGCTCAGAGCAAACTGGGAAGCTTGAGGAGGTGGCAGATGACCTCATGGTCCCCATTAATCAAAAAGTCCCAGGTCTTCAGTTCTGTGTGCCCTGTCTCCCTGCAACACTGACTATAAGCAAACCAGTAACAGAAAGCATGGAACTGCAAAGGTGACAGAATAATAATGTTAAAAGCCCCTTCCACCCACAGGTCACTCATTCATGCTACTGCAGCTGGTCTATTGATGGCTCCTGACTGTCCTTGCTGCCAGTAACACAGCTCAGCTTATGGGTGGCTTTACTGCTCCAGACCTAACTGCTGAAAGGCATCTTCTGCCACTCAGAGCGGCCACACCAGTTGCTGGTGGAATTAATGGGCCAGCAGAGCTGGCTGCTCCCACTGCTGCCACGGTGAGTTTATTCTCCTCCCTGTCCAAGGTGGCTGGGGAGAACCACTAATGCAGAGGCAGCCCGTGAGAGCAGTTACAAAGATGGAGCTGGAACGAGGTTAGCTTGGGCCATTAAGGACTGCTCAACCTCTTTTCCACCCAGGGCTGTGCAAACTAATTCTTGAGTGTTTCTTTACAAGAAAATAATTTGGTTTTTCATGCCCCAACTCGGTGTTTGTGTCTTCTTAGGGCAGAGCCAGCCCTGTGTGCCAGAGAACAGCCCTGAAGGCTACAAACAGCAGCACACGGTCAGATCCTGCCCATTGCATTTCCTCACACAGATGTTCAGTAGGGCTTACTCTTAAGTAAGCCTGCTAAGGAAAATATCGATCAGGCAATCCAAACAGGGACAGTTCTATCCTATCCATCTTCTCGTTTTCCTCCAAGTCATTTTGGTTAAGGAAGTTCTAACTTTTTCTAATTGCCAACATACACTGGATCATGGAGAAAGCTAGGGAGTTCCAGAAAAACATCTACTTCTGCTTCATTGACTATGCTAAAGCCTTTGATTGTGTGGATCACAACAAATTGTAGCACGTTCTTAAAGAGATGGGAGTACCAGACCATCTTATTTGTCCCTCGAGAAACCTATATGCGGGTCAAGAAGCAACAGTGAGAACTGGACACGGAACCACTGATTGGTTCAAAATTGAGAAAGGAGTTTGGCAAGGCTGTATACTGTCGCCCTGCCTATTTAACTTAT